AGAAGGTGGCTCAGTGGTAGAGCATTTGCCTTGCATGCCTAAGGCCCTGGGTTCGATTCCTCAGCACCACATAGGCAAAAAGAAAAAAGCCGGAAGTGGCGCTGTGGCTCAAGTGGTAGAGCGCTAGCCTTGAGCTGAAGAGCTGAGGGACAGCGCCCAGGCCCAGAGTTCAGGCCCCACGACCGGAACCAAAAAAATAAAATCAATGGTTGTCCTTGGATAAAAATATGAAAGCATGTTATTATAGGGAAAAATGAAGAATTGGAGCAGAGTGAACATACATCATTAGTGAGAAGTGAAATTTTGAAGCCAGGAAAGATTAGGTGACTTCTTATTTCTTCTTCCCCTTAGGTGATTTTGTCCTACCATCAGGACCTTGGCCATGGCCCGCTGAAGTTGTACGGGACTGGGATACCTGGTTTTCTATGAGGAAGTTACAGCTGGATCCTATCTTGGATGCTGTGCTAGGTAGTCATGCTATGACTACTCTATGGGCCAGTGTAGGAAGGCCAAGGCCAGATCCAGATGTCCTGCAGGGTTCTTTGAAGCGGCTGCTAACAGATGTTATATCACGTCCCTTGACACTGGGCCTAGGGCTTAGGGCCCTGGGGATAGATGTTGGGAAGACTGGGAGATGCACGTTGCATGTGGCTGGTGCTTCCCATGTGGAGACACTTCTCTCTCGTTCTGGGGACTATGATGAGCTTGGATACATGTTTCCTGGACACCTTGGCCTCCATGTAATCATGGTAGGTGTGGATGTGGCTACTGACTTTTTACAGAGCACCTCAGCTTCATCATTGGAACCTGGCACAGTTCAGCTTGGTGGCCACAGAGGACTCTATCATGACTTCTGGGAGGAGCAGGTAGAGACTGGACATGTAGCCCATCCAGATATGGTGGTAGCATTCCATCCAGGTAAGAGCCATTGATATCAGAGAAATCTTTGGTACTTCCCTTGAGAATTTTCCATCCTCTTTCTTACATCTTCTTTGGAACCCTTTTTATTTGATCTCATTAATCACAATAATTGGATGATTATTTCACATATAAACTATACTCTGGTTTAGAATTGGGAGGGAGGACAGAATCTTGTGAACAATCATGATGATGGTGGTGGTAGTTATTGGGGAAGAGTAACATGAGGATTGGGGCAGGCACTGTTGAAGAAATGTTTTGTTTTTAAGGTCTGTCTAGGGGCTGGGAAGGTGGCTCAGTGGTAGAGTGCTTGCCTTGCATGCATAGGCCCTGGGTTCGATTCTTTAGCACCACATAAGCAAAAAGAAAAAAGCCAGAAGTGGTGCTGTGGCTCAAGTGGTAGAGAGTTAGCCTTGAGCTGAAGAACTGAGGGACAGCACCCAGGCCCACAGTTCAGGCCCCACAACCGGACCCAAAAAAAAAGGTCTGTCTAAAAAATCCGCCCCCACCTACTATTCCCCCTTTTTGAATTTTCATTCCAATTCTCATTCTGGTTCTATAGGTTTCCATGCTTCCCCAAACTTGATGGAGTCTTGGCTCCCTACTCTGCTGCTGCTTCGTGACTATGAGATCCCTACATTGATTACGCTTTACAGGTTTTGATCTTTTCCTATTTGTGGTATTTCCCTGATTCACTTATTTCTCTCTTTATCCAGATGAGCTTATTTTGTGCTCTTGTGTTTTTCTGTCTGGGTAATATGTTCTTTCTTCTATTGCCTTCTTCCATTCTCTTGGAACAAAAACCTGTGCTACTTAACTAGAGATTTAGTGAGACATTTGGGAGGAAAGGATAGTCTAGTCCAGGCCTGATAAGTACAGAAATGTCATGCTCTCAACCAATTGTTACTCTTTTCTCATAATAGTAGAGCAATTTTTCTTCTCTCCCACAGCAAACAGGAATTGGCAGCCTCTTTACAGATACTGGTGGACCTGGATATGCACATCATTGGCTATGGAGCTAATCCTTTCACATCCCTCAAACCTGAACAGGTCTATTCTAACCCCAACAAGCAGCCAGTATACTGCAGTGCCTACTACATAATGTTTCTTGGAAGCTCTTCTTGCCAGCTAAAGGAAGGCAATTAGATAATACATGGTGGTATTTAAATAGCTAAACCAGATCCTTACTGGATACCAGGGAAATAAGAAGACTGTGATGAAGTTACACTGTTGATGTCAGATTGTGGCCAACTTTGAAATATCTCCTAAACTTTATTTATCACTCAAATAAAGTGAATGAGAGCATCAATATTATGTGACTCATTTCTAACAACTTAGTCATAGCTAGGTATAGTGATGCATGTCAGTAATCCCAGCACTCAGAAGGCTAAGGCAGAAAGATCGCAAGTTGAAGGCTAACCTGGGCTACATAGCAAGATACTGTCTCAAAAGGAAAAAAAAAGTCTGAGGTTAGTCAAAGTAATGACTAGACATAGGTTTCTAGAGTTACTTGGTATCAAGCAATCAAAAATCTAGAGTTCCTAATAGTTTCCTTTGTGTGAAAGATACCTATTGAATAGAACTGGATGTCACTGAAAACAAGAATGAGAACTACCTGAATCTTCCTTCTGAAAAACACTTTCTGATGTAACAATTTGGGCTTAAAAATGGAAGTGTTAATTCAAGTCAACAAGTTTTGGTGACACAAAGAAAGTTGTAAGGATCCTATTTTCTTGATTTGTTCTAGAGAAATATCTCTTTCCCCTTTGTCTTTTGGGCAGGGTGGGGGAGAGGGGATTCTGACTTGAGAGAGGCCCTGGTATTGTATCTACATATCCCAGGGTATATCAGATTTCACCTGTCCTGCAATAAAATTAGGTTTTCTGTTTTTTGTTTTTGTTTTTGTTTTGGTGTGTGTTGTCCAAACTGATTCAGAACTCTAGATCTCTAGCAATTCTCTTGTCCCAGTCTTCTGAGTACTGGAACTAAAGATACTTGCCTCTGCATCTAGCTACTTTGAGACCTCTTAAATCATTATCCTCCCTTTTTTTCTAGTATTAGCAAGTATTTCTCATCTGCACAAAACCTCAATATTAGGTTTCTCTCATGCCAACAGAAGTTTAGCATCAATTCTGCCTGAACCACCACAAATTTCTCATGTTACTCTTTTTTTTTATCGTACTCTTAGGACTGGGACATTCCTTGGATATTTATTTGTACAACCACGCCATGATGTTCACACATACAATCACACACACAAATCCTGTCTCCTTGACACATACACATTTGTACTTTTCTTTTTCTATGGGGGAAATGTTAGAATGTGTTTATTCATTCAAAACGTTCATTTTTTTAATTTAATTTTATTGTAAGGGTAATATACAGAGGGGTTACAGTTACATAAGTAAGATAATGAGTACATTTCTTATCAAACATTGTTGCCCTCTCCCTTGCTTTCCCCCACTTTCCTCACACACCCCCCCCCCAACTCAAAACCTTTACTTAGGACTAGAGGTATGGCTCAAGTAGTAAAATCCTTGCTTATTGCCCTTAATTTCAGTCTCCAGTACATCAAAAAGCAAACACACACACAAAAATGTAGTATTTATTGTTAATTTGGGGCAGAAAGATGAATGAGATCTGGTCCTTATTCTTAACATAGGAAGATAAATTATATGTATACAATGAAACCTTTATTACAAAGTATAATCTGGAATAAGAAACATAAGAGAGACTAGATGGTGAGGAAGTACAGCAAGAAAGAGAGGTAACTTTGGTAAATGACAGTGGTATTGTGAATTAAAATGTTATAAAACAGAGGGCAAGGCATTACAAATGGACATTGGGAATAGAAGTTTGAAGGCAGAAAATGGGAGAATTCATTAAGCGATTAAATATAAATTAAGTCTGGAAAGTAGATTGGGATCATATTATGGATGAGACATAGCTGGCAGGTCAGCTTTGGATTTCTGTAGATCTAAGTATGACTCCTGAGATAACCATCAAAAAATTTTGGTCCTGGGCTGGGAAGGTGGCTCAGTGGTAGAGAGCTTGCCTTGCATGCCTGAGGCCCTGGGTTCGATTCCTCAGCACCACAAAAGGAAAAAGCTGGAAGTGGCGCTGTGGCTCAAGTGGTACAGCGCTAGCCTTGAGCTGAAGAGCTGAGGGACAGCGCCCGGCCCAGAGTTCAGGCCCCATGACCGGACCCCCCCCCCCAAAAAAAATAATAATTTTGGTCCTAAGGTAAACTTCTGTTAGCCTTAGTTTCCACATTTTTAAAATTTGGACACTACCTAAAACCCTAAGATATGTTAAGATATAAAGGAAAATATGTGAGAAGTTGGAATACTTACATATCCAAATTTCAAACCATTTTTTTAAAAAAGCAATCAAGTAATGTATAGGAGATAGATAGGTAGGTCAGTAAAATAGAATTAAAATGATCTTAGTTCTTTTGTATTTCTATTAAAAATATAAACTGGATGGCTTATTGAAATTTATTTGTTAGGGCTGGGAAGGTGGCTCAGTGGTAGAATGCTTGCCTTACATGCCTGAGGCCCTGGGTTCCATTCCTCACCACCACATAAGCAGAAAAAGCTGGAAGTGTCGCTGTGAATCAAGTGGTAGAGCACTAGCCTTGTGCTGAAGAGGTACAGTGCTCGGGCTCAGAGTTCAGGCCCCACTACCAACAAAAAAAAAAAAAGAAATTTATTTGTTGGGAGTTTTTGAAATCAGGAAGTCAAAGATCAAGGATCTAGCCATTCTGATATCTGATGAGGGCTCATTTTCTGGCATACAGAAGGCTCTTTTATACTATGTCCTTTCATGATGGAGAGACTAAACTATACCTGATACCTTTTTTTATAAGTTCACAACTGTAATCCTAGCTACTCAGGAGACTGAGATTTGAAACTATCCCAGGCAGGAAAGTCTGTGATACTCTTCACTCCAGTTAACCACCAAAAATCTGGAAGTGGAGCTGTGGCTCAAGTAATAGAGTGTTATCCTTGAGCCCAAAAGCTTAAGGATGGCGCTCAGTCCTGGGGCTTGAACACAAAAATGATCTTCGAAAATACTTTAAGAGAAAGAAAACAGGTACTGGTTTGTGGTTTGAGGCCAGCTCAGATAAAAACTAAGGAAAAAAAGGGCTGGAGTATAGCTCAAGTGGTAGAGGGTTTGCCAAGCAAGCCCAAGGCCCTGAATTCAGACCCTACTAAATCCCTGTCCCTCCCCCGCAAAATAAGCCAGGCACAAGTGATCATATATTTTTTAGTGCATTAATATGCTATGTCCAGAATAGGTATGTCTCTGGGGACACAAAGTAGATTACTGTCTGTATATGAATAGGCAGGATGGGGTTTCTTTTTGTAGTGATGTAATCATTTTCAAATTGCACAGTTCCTTGACAGTATCAAAATCCAGTATATTTTACATGAATAAATTATATCAATAAAGCTTTAGCAAAAACTTTCTATGTATCTTAGGGAATATATAAAGGGAAGATATATGTTAGTTGTTTACCACTGTAATTAGCACATAGTATAGTCTTTTTTTTTTTTTTTTGTCGGTCGTGGGGCTTGAATTCTGGGCCTGGGTGCTGTCCCTCAGCTCTTCAGCTCAAGGCTAGCGCTCTACCACTTGAGCCACAGCGCCACTTCCGGCTTTTTTCTTTTTGCTTATGTGGTGCTGAGGAATCGAACCCAGGGCCTTGAGCATGTAAGGCAAGCGCTCTACCACTGAGCCACCTTCCCAGCCCCCATAGTAAAGCCTAAAGGTGTCTTTTATTTTTTTTGGTTGGTCATGAGGCTTGAACTCTGGGCCTGGGCGCTGTCCCTCAGCTCTTCAGCTCAAGGCAAGCACTCTACCACTTGAGCCACAGCGCCACTTCCGGTTTTCTAGTGGTTTATTGGAGATAGGAGTCTCACAGTCTTTCCTGCCCGGGCTGGCTTTGAACCGTGATCCTCAGATCTCAGCCTCCTGAGTAGCTAGAATTACAGGTGTGAGCCACTGGCGCCCAGCAAGAGTGTCTTTTATTAAGCACATGCTATGTTGAGTTTTATTGAGTCACATAAATTAGACACAATACTATGTACAATGGTTTGATGATAGAAAAAAATAGCCGAGACATACTGTCATGGTTCAGAGAAGAGATTCTTTCAGGTAAGGTGATAGCAGTGCATATGGAAAGGAAGAAGATTTTATTTTTTAAATTTTTTTTTGGTCCGGTCATGGGGCCTGAACTCTGGGCCTGGGCGCTATCCCTCAGCTCTTCAGCTCAAGGCTAGCGCTCTACCACTTGAGCCAC